CCTCTTGATAGTACGGCATACCTATACTCAAGATCAAGAGAATATAATCATTTCAGCCCCTTGAGTCTTCAATATCTTCATATGTCATTTCTTCTCAATATCTCTTCATAAGGGGTTGCAATCACCTTTTTGTCTCATCTCTTTGAGCAATCTCACCTTGAGCATGTGACTTAAACCATTTCAACACATATGAGTTCAATTCATGGCTTCAAGTCACTTCCATTAATGATTTGATCCTCAACACAATATGACTCCTCATAGCTTGATTGGTTCCTCGACTCAATGCAAGTACTCTCTTCTTCACCTTAGTCATGATACCTTGGTTCTCAAGCCATCGCTTGCCCTTCACCTCCGCTTAGTCCCTCGAAGCCCTTTCCTTGCTATCTTCACCTTATCAAGCCATACTCAAGTCATATCATACTAAGCATCCATTGAAAAGCTATTTCTTCAATATTGTGATCCCTGCTTGAATATCTTCTAGATATGAATGTTGAGATCAATCAAGCTTCAGTTTGATTCACATAGAGACATATGAATAAACATTAATATGGTCAAGCCAATTCACGGTTCCTCATATTCTCTTCATTTTGGCTTGACACTCCTAACACCCACTTGAATATTTATCTTCATACTTCTAGCTTGATCAAATTAAATGTAAAGTGAATTTTCAAATCTTTATCCATATAAGCAAACAAATGTAGAGACCGACCTATATCCAATATGAGTTGTGTCCTTTGTCATTTGACCTTTGCTTGGCATTTTCTCACTTATGCATTCTTGATTCATTCTTCAACCTTGATCAAAGCTAATTCACTATCAAACTCTTCTTGTTCATGCAAAGCAAGCCACCTATATAAGACCTTTCCATGTTATCATCTCATGTATTATTTACCGGCTGCCAAACATTTTTGCTTTCCCATGATGCCATGATATCCCACACATAGAAGTCATTTCATCAACTCCATTTGCATTGTTGTCATTTTCTTGAACTAGATTGTTTCCAGAACCTTCTAGCACAACAATACACAATTTTGACTTTATTTTGAATATTATGTGGAATACCATCAAGTTTGCCTTCTAGTTGAACCTTTGATACACTTCTCATCATACAATCTTCAAGTGTATGCAATACACTCAATTTCCTGTTCAACACTTAGCAAACTTATTAGACCTTTAATTATGTTGTCATTTAATTCACCACCCACTAAAGGTCTAGATGCACTTTCAATATCCCCCGGTACCCAAACTACCCGAACTACCCAAACATTTGTCTCTGTCTTTGTATTTATCATTTACTGTTAGTTGAACACTTGAACTTATCACTTTATTAGAATATAATTCTCTCGGTTTGAACAAGTGACTTTAATACGTTATTCTCTACAAAATGCTATTGAAATTATATATAAATTGCTGCTGAAATTATATATAAATTGCTACTTACTATTTGTGTAGTTTGCTGTTTTTTTTATAAATTCGGGTATATCGGGAATACTCCAACCCGAACCCAAATTATCGGATACTCGAAATTACGGGTAGTGTTTTTTCAGGACTAATATCGGATAGAATTTCGAATTACCCGACCCGAAAAAATCAGGTAACCCGAACGCCCAGGCCTAAGTGGGGGAGTGAGTGATGTAAGAAGAGATGTCGAAAGTGAGGGATGGTGGACCGATGGAATTTTTCTAATATTAAATGCAGATATAAAAATGTGAACCGAGACATAGAATTTGTTTATCTTTAATATTAAGTAGGAGTATATAGATTGGTCTTTTGCGGCAGTACAAGTGGAGGCACAACATGCTTTGACGAAACGAAACTTGATCTCGTCCCTAGGTTGATGATGGCAATAATGCATTTCAAAGACAGAGGAACTGTCTACCTTGTTCCATCTAGACAAAACAATCTTCCCCTAGTATCCATTTTTTTGTCTTAACGGCACCTCATCTTAACAACAAAATAAAACCACCATTAGGCTGCCCATATTATACTACTACCTGCTCCATTTCATATGGACCATGCAACAAAGACAGAGACTGGCTGGAGCCTGGAGGAGGAGGAAGGAAGATGGCGGAGAGGGGGAATCCGTGGGTGTACGCGTCGAAGCAAACACCTCATCTCCCCTGTCGCCCTACACACGCCGCCCCTCCAGCTGTGCCCAGCTCGGTCGCACCGCACGCCATGGACACTGGACTCCTTCACCTCACCTTGCATTTCCATGGGGACGCGCTCCACCTCCAGCTCCAGGATTAATTAACAAGCAGCTAAACAATTGCAGAATTGCTATGCTGTCTCATGTCAAACAGCTAAGCATGCAGTACACTCCCACACATTATTCTACTGCCCCAAGGCCGGTCCCAGTAAGGACATGCATCCGGCCATTTTCTATGCGAACAATTCAAGCCGCGAGTGGACGAAATTTGCTCCCGTGCATTCAGTCTAGTCGTACTCGTACCCTTCATTTGCAAATTGCAATCCATGCATTTGTCTGCAGTTTCTCAGAATCGTCTGGAGCTAGCAGAGTGGAGATCCTATCCTCTGAATGCATACGGATTGTCGAGACGGTGTCGGAGCGGTGCTGCTCGTGATCAGGGCAGGAGGAGGTGGGTTAAGGGTTTCAGGATTTGGATTGCCGGCGGCGGCAGGCTCGAATTTTAGGGGGGACATAAACAAGCTTCAAAAGATATGGCAGAGCAGGCAAATCTGGCACAGCAAGTTAACAAGGATATGGTTCTGCTCATGGGAAAGGACGAAAGAAGTGGAGGCCGGCTGTGAGGAGGAAGACGTGGCACTACTACGTACATGAAATTTAGAGACGTCTCTCTTTTAGGGTAGAGGTGGCTCTATAAAATAGATTTGTAAAAAGGGTTTTCGAGCCAATCAGGCTTTACGAATTGATTTTAGTCTTTCTAAAAATAGAGGGTACTTTTAGAGGTGATTGAGTTTTCCGGCTGCCTCTAGAAACTATAAATGTAGCCATTTGTAAAGACATACGGAAATTCCACCTGTCTTACAATTTTTTCAAATGAAGTTGGGTACAGACATTATTTTATACCAAAGTCGTAGTACTCGATTAAAGCGGATGGAGCTGCTCGATGGACAGACGACAACGGCAGCTAAGAACACCTACGACAGTATCTTCATCGACCAGCTCAACCCCTCGTATGTTGAGATAATGCGATAGCTCTTCCCTGACTCACCAGGAGAGCGGGTGCAAGGAGAGCGGGCGAGCGCGTTTGACCGTCGATACTGGCTAGCTAGCATTATTAACGAGTAATAGCTCATGATCTCCTTCTGCTAGAGAGAGAAAGATCCGATTGTATAACACTATCCCCTAGTCTGCCATGTCTGTGGCACGTCATTGTAACTTTCAGTATTTCTCGATCTTAATACAAAAGATGCTCAAACTTTTTACGCATTCGAGAAAAAAAGTTGTAGTACTCGAAGAGATCAGATCTGCAACTTTATAATTGACTACTTTTTGCATTGAAATCATTTAAGGTTCAAAAATTTTGTTTTAAGTTTTCATAATTTGAATGCAATTTTGAAAAGTTTTTAAAGCATGGGACAGAGAAATGATGTAAACCAAAATCGTAGTACTCGAAGAAATTTTTAACTTTGTAGTTGACTACTTTTTCATTTGTCCAAAAATTATGTTTTAATTTTTTTGTTTTCTAAATTTATTTTTTTGAATTTTTTAAATAACCTATGATAGAGAAACTACTTAAACCAAAGTTGTAGTGCTCGAGAGAGAGATGCAACTTTGTTGTTGGTGAAATTTTCATTTGAATTCAATTAGGAGCGAAAAATCATGTTTATATTTCAGAGTTTGAAATTCTTTTTTTTTGTTTTTTGAACTGACTTCAAATGAAGATACTAGTTAAATCAAAGTTATAGTACTCGAAGAAATTTGCAACTTTGTTGTTGATAAATTTTTATTTGAAATCATTTAGAGTCCGAGAATATGTTTTGCATATATTTTGCAATTTATATTTTGATTTTTTAGATGACCTCAGACAAAGAAACGGTCTACACCAAAGTTTTAGTCCTCAAAGAGATCTAAAATTTTCTAGTTCAATTTTTTTCATTTTAGTTCTTTTAAGATCTCAAATACGTATTATAATATTTGCTGAAATAAATACAAAAGGATTGATCAATCACTTGCCCGGCGCAGTGGTAAGGAAGGAACACAGAAGTGTGAGATCTTGAGCTTGATGTAGCCCGCTCAAATATACATTACAATTTTTTACATTCAATATTACATTCAATAGATTGTATCAAAATTATTTAATTTAGAGTGTGTGATCTCCTATATAAAATTGAAATAACCTAAAAAATAAAAATGCAATCCAAAGGAGCCTTATTTTAGCGGTGGACTACGAAAAAATCTAGAGACTCTTCGCTACAAGGGTCGAAATTTTGTCAGACGACACGAACTCGAACGACACATACTAGTATATGTCAATGTGAAAATGCAGCTAAAAGATAAGTAAAAAGGGAGCGGCAGGTAGTACACACGTCTTTCGCTTACTCTATTATCCAGTAATATCCACAGCATTTGACACGAAAACACGGACGCGATGACTTTTACTTTACACTGGAGAGGATTCTTCAGCTCGACCGTGTTGATCAATCTTCTTCAAAGTTTCTTTCTTTTCTTTGTTGATTGAGTTTCTTTGGTCGTCATTTGATCTTGATGCTCTCATGTTAATTTTCGTGCACTTTCTTGCCGTTGAACGCATTTCGCTAGCCCATTTATGCAGGCGAAAGAAAAGAATATACACGCTGATATACATTTTGACCAAGTAAATATACGGGCATGGCGTGGGCCCCACCGAGGAGATGAAAAGTCAATGGCATGCCAGCTCCTCTTGTCCCCTTCCACCTATAAATCGCCCGCCCACCCACCTCCTCCGCTGCACTAAACCCAAGCAAGCCAAAGCCTGACCTGAAGCCTCCCCTGCCACTTCGCCGGCGCCACCGCAGCACACTCAGACGAGAGTATGGATCTGCTGAACCCTGAGCAGATCTCGGAGTTCCGGGAGGCGTTCGCGTTCTTCGACAAGGACGGGGACGGGTGCATCACGGTGGAGGAGCTGGCGACGGTGATGGGTTCCCTGCAGGGGCATCGCCCCAGCGAGGACGAGCTGGGCGAGATGATCCGCGACGCCGACGCCGACGGCAACGGCACCATCGACTTCCCCGAGTTCCTGGCGCTCATGGCGCGCAAGACCGCCGCCGGGTCCGCGTCCGGGGGTGCCGGCGGCGCCGACGGCGACGACCCCGACGAGGAGCTCCGCGAGGCGTTCAAGGTGTTCGACAAGGACCAGAACGGGTACATCTCCGCCACCGAGCTCCGCCACGTCATGATCAACCTCGGCGAGAAGCTCACCGACGAGGAGGTGGAGCAGATGATCCGCGAGGCTGATCTTGACGGCGACGGACAGGTCAACTACGATGAGTTCGTCAGGATGATGATGCTCTCCGACGGTGCCGGCGCTGGCGGCGGCCACGCCGGTGCTGGAACCACCGGCCACCACCAATGAACCCGTTCGTCCGTTCATCTATCCGCCGTGTAGCTACCATGCTAGCATTTTCGGTCACGTACGTCCATCCATCTCCATTTTCTCCAATGGAGTGGCGGATGGTCCCTGCATTCATCTCTGCACTTCTGCTTCCTTTCTTTTCAGTTTTCACCCAAAAAAATTAGTATCCGTCTCTGTACTGTAATGTAACTGATCAAATATTCAACCAACAGTTTAATTTAATTATTGAATGAATTCGTCAAAGGACGACGAACCATCGATCGATAAACAAGAACGTATGTATACCATCTTCATTCACTCAAAATCAAAACTGCATCGCTGAATTTGATTTGGGATTTGGTTTGACCCACCCACCGACAGACAGATGATGCCAGTTGGAAGAGGGCTTTATTTTTTGTTTTGTCCACTCCCCGGCGGCTCTCCTCTCCTGAAGTAGGACCTACTATATCTTTTTTACCATACCATGGCTGCTGTTGTTGGTGGTGAACTGGTGATGTACACATGGCATGGGACCATGAGTCAGTGAGAACCGTGACATCATTCTTGTGGACTTTTTCACCGGTTTAGCTTACCCTCTAGCTTCCTCTGCCTGATTCTGTCCTTGTAGATGCGTGTTCAACTGAGGCTATTCGGAAATTACACAAGCAAATGCATGCATGGTGGTACTCTGTTTTCTTCCTTCCGCGGAGGCATGAAGCTCTGTTTTACCTTGGGGACTCTGACCAGAAATTGCTACCCGACTAGAGAGGCAGGCAGTTTCCAACCACATTTCTGATGCATGCTGTGGTAGTCTACTGATTGAATGGTAATATGGGAGTATCCTTGTAGTAGATGACATGACAGAATGCAGTCAGCTTAGGGTGATTAGAAATTGCGCGAGTAAATGGGGGCACTCTGTTTTCTACCTTTTGGTCCAGACAACAGATATAAACTCGAATTTACTCGAGACTTTGACAAGAAATCGTTAACCTGGCTAGAGGCACTTCCCAACCACATTTCTCGTTAACCGCTGTTGGCCAGACTTTGCAGCTGCGACTGAAATGTGCATTGAGGTCCCACTATGTGGGTTCAGTGAATTATTGACAAATAAAATAAAGGGATTAATGAGTTTAATGAGTAATGAACATGTTTAGCCCTAATAAGAAAATAAAAAGGTGACTAATGCCCCCTCGAAAGGAAATGAAAGAGCATACGGATCTACGAATAGGATTTAGTTCCTTTTATTTTCAAAAAAACAAGTGGCTTTATGCATGTCATACTATTGAGGGGATACCAATTTATAGTCTTGTAGGTGTCTCTGTGCTAAATATCATTTGATCAAACCAATAGAAATAGAGAGATAGATGACACAACAAGGACACTTGGGAAATTTAGTAACCTAGGGCGTCCCCCAGTAAGCTATTAAATAGCTACCGAACAATACTTGTTGTACTATCTAAAAGAAAGAGAGTAGAAGCGCTAGACTCGTTAACGAGGACTGAAGTGCCAGATTCGCATGTCTGCCAATAAAACATGTGTCTGCATCTCACTTCTATGCATGCTGCATAGCTTGGTATTTTCTTTCTTTCTTTTTTAATTTGATCAGTCGCAAGTTCTGATGCTTCAAGCAAGAAACAAATTCACCGTTTTTTTAAGGACAGCAAAAGGTTTGTCCCGATTTGTATTACACGGAAAAAAAATAAAACAAGTGTAAGTCTAGTTTTTTCCAGGCTGTTCGCTTGTTGGTTTCAGCCAGGACTTATCAGTCAGTCAACAGTGTTTTTCTCTCACCACAAATTAACACCAGCTGGATTTATCAGCCCAGAAACCAACCAGCGAACAAGCTGTTTAAGTAAACTAGTCCTAAAAACCACGTTTTACTAGAAAGAGTTGAAAACTCTAGTTTGGTTTTAGTGAATTGATGAAACCCTAAGTGCTAACCTAGTTTATCAAAATGATCATGAGATAGGTAACACTACTTCAAGTGGTGAAGTAAATAAAGATCATGACATGATGATAGTGTTGACATGGTGATGATCAAGTGCTTGGACTTAGAAAAGAAGTAAAAGAAATGTAAAAGGCTCAAGGCAAAGGTATAAATGGTAGGAACTTTTTTGTTTCGGTGATCAAGACATTTAGAGAGTGTGATCACATTTAGAATCGATAGCCGTACTATTAAGAGAGGTGAAACTCGTATAAAAATGCGGTTATCAAAGTGCCACTAGATGCTCTAATTCATTGCATTTGCATTTAGGATCTAGTGGAGTGCTAACATCCTTGAAAATGTTTGTGAAAATATGCTAACATATGTGCATAAGGTGATACACTTGGTGGTTGACACATTTGATCAAGGGTAAAAAAGATAGAGTTGAAGAGAAGTTAGTCACGCTGGTCACAGAGTGACCGGACGCGTCCAGTATGGCGACCGGACGCGTTCGGTATGTGGCTCGGTACTAAAGCTCAGAAAGCGACCGAAATCAGCAAAGTCGATGTTCAGAGAAACAGTTGATCGGACGCTAGGAGCGTCTGGTCCGAAGTGACCGGACACGTCCGGTCGTCCCTTGATGCTTACTGGACTCGACCGGACGCTACGGCTCAGCGTCCGGTCGCCACACCGGACGCGTTCGGTATACACGAGCGGTGCGTCCAGTCGCCACAACCTGCGCGTCCGGTCGATACGCAATCAACCCAATAATTGAGCCAACGGCTCTATTGTTTGGGGTGTCTATAAATACCGTTTGGCCGGCTCTAGCTCACTCTCTTGGCCATTTACATTGACATAACAATCTTGTGAGCTTAGCCAAAGCCCTCCTACTCATCTCCATCATAGATTCAACATCTTTATGAGATTGGGAGTGAATCTAAGTGCATTGCATGAGTGTTTGCATCTAGAGACACTTGGTGTTCGTGTTTCGCTGCGGAATTCGCTTGTTACTCTTGGTGGTTGCCGCCACCTAGACGGCTTTGAGCAGCGAGGATCGTCAAGCGGAGGTTGATTATTGTCTCCGGCTCCGATCGTGGTGATTGTGAGGGGTTTTTGACCTTTCCCCGGTAGAGAGCCAAAATGTACTCTAGTAAATTGCTCGTGGCTTGTGTGATCCTCATCTTATGTTGGTTGTGCGGCACCCTATTGAGGGTTTGGCGTGTGATGCCAATTAGCGCGTGAACCTCCAGTGAGTAAATCGCCACAACAAGGACTAGGTTGCCGGCAAGGAAGTGAACCTCAGTAAAAAATCATTGTGTCACTATTTGACTCCGAGGTGATTGTTCTTCATTGGTTTTCATTCTTGTGATTGATTGATTTATTTCTCGACATGACGGTATAACTATCTTGCTCTCTCTCTTTATATTACCGCAAACTAGTTATCAAGCTCTTTAGTGTAGGTAGTTGTGAGAGCTTGTTAGTTTGGTTAGTGTGGCTCTTTAGTTAGCATTTGAGAGCACATTAACTTAGTGTAGTGCCATAGCCATTGTGTGGTTAGAAACAATAGAAACTAGAATTATGGTAGGTGGCTTGCATTTTTAGTAGGCTAGCGCAACACTTGCTTTGCCTCATAATTATCTAACCGGTTTATGAAGTATTGTTGTAGAAATTTTTAATAGGCTATTCACCTCTGGCCATTAGAACCTTTCAAGAGTACTTCACTGTTTCAATTGACGCATAGTCACAAGGGGCTTGATTGGTTCACTTTCAAGCAAAGCCCGGCTCATAGCAGGGGATGCTTGCCACTGCTGGCCAGGCTTTTGCTGCTGTAACTGAACTTTGTTCCCGTTTGCGTGCAATCAGGCCATGGGGAAAACTTGTTTGGTCTGCATGCGTGATGCGTCCAGCTGCTTTCCTCTCTCAAGAACCCGTCCACGCGTTTGCACATTCCGTATTCCGTGAGCCAGGCTTGGAGGGATGTTTTGCATTGCAACGGGTAGGCACAATTCGCATTCCAGGCAACCAATCCAGCTGTGGTTGTACCCGGCCATGGCTAACAGCATCTTCAAGAGATTACTTATCTTATCCATAATATACTAAAAATATATAATATAAGGTATTATAGTTACTCCAACAAATTACTCATCATATCCAATACTTAAAAGCTTTAAATAATTACTCCCTCCGTCCTAAAATATAATGTATCATGACTTTTAAAATTTGTACTGAAATATAATGTATTCTATGCAATGATTATGTCTAGATTTGGCAAAGTTTGATAAAAAAAAAGAAACCATGATTTGAGAATAAACTCCTTAATTAGAATAATCCATGGGTACATTCCTCGTTTGAAGATTTTCTTAAGTTGTCTTAAAATTTTCTCTCTTTTCAACCGGCTACAACCGGTCCGCGGTGTTCTGTGGCCTAATTTCACTGAACCACAGTGTCTTCTGACAAACTGCTTAAAACGGGGTGTCCACCAGCAAATGACTGTCACTTTGGGCTAATTTTACCATACCATGGCTGCTGTTGGTGGCGGTGAACCGGTGATGTACACATGGCATGAGACCATGAGTCAGTGAGAACCGTGACATCATTCTTGTGGACTTTTTCACCGGTTTAGCTTACCCTCTAGCTTCCTCTGCCTGATTCTGTCCTTGTAGATGCATGTTCAACTGAGGCTATTCGGAAATTACACAAGCAAATGCATGCATGGTGGTACTCTGTTTTCTTCCTTCCGCGGAGGCATGAAGCTCTGTTTTACCTTGGGGACTCTGACCAGAAATTGTTACCCGACTAGAGAGGCAGGCAGTTTCCAACCACATTTCTGATGCATGCTGTGGTAGTCTACTGATTGAATGGTAATATGGGAGTATCCTTGTAGTAGATGACATGACAGAATGCAGTCAGCTTAGGGTGATTAGAAATTGGGCGAGTAAATGGGGGCACTCTGTTTTTCTACCTTATAAACTCGAATTTACTCGAGACTTTGACAAGAAATCGTTAACCTGACTAGAGGCACTTCCCAACCACATCTCTCGTTAACCGCTGTTGGCCAGACTTTGCAGCTGCGACTGAAATGTGCATTGAGGTCCCA